TGTTCAGTATAAATCATGCAATTGGATATGATTCACAGTTGGATACATCACGTACTGTACTGGCTCTGATCACTAATTCAACTGATGTGGAGCTCTGCTTGGGGGAGGGGGAGGTGTATGCTCGCTGCACTTTAACTTTACATTTCGTTGCGAAGCCCCAGGTACCAAATTGGCTTGCCCGGCATATCGAGAAATTTGTCCGGACTTGAGAGACGTGGGCGTGGTGATCGTGGGCGTGATCGCTACCGTGCGTGTGTGCAAAGACTGGTTCTACGTCTCTACTGTCTCTGTTCGGGGTGCCTCAGGTGGTGTGGTCGTGTTAGGGTGGCTGGCCAAGGAACCTGATGCTGCATCTGTTGCCATAGCACAAAGCCAGCGATGCTGAGATTTCCCTGCTTCAAGTCAAAATGAAATCAAGTTCCCAAGGTGGAGTAAGTTTGGTGGTCTCAGCCTTGTCATCCACAAATGCCAATACGTCTTTGCATAAAATACAGCATGGTTCAGATGAGCGAATATGGACTTATTTGACCGATTAACACAAGTCCAAGCTTAAATAGTTATTGTCTTTCTGATCTCATAATAAAAACCACTAATGGATATTGGGCTACATTAATGAAATACATGTCACTCACTTCCTGCTTAAACGAGCATGGCCACATTGCGTATTCCATCTGCTTGCAGCTTCTCTCCAGAGATACAAATTAGAAATGACTTGGCAGGGCGCAAGGCACCACGAGACGACCATTGGTGCGCTGCCCACAGAGTGGCATAATTGCCAAAAAAGTGAAAAAAACCACGAAACAGTCGAATGGGTGGGGTCGGGTGGGGTGGTGGAGTAGTGGGTGGGATGGATGAGGCTGTGCAGGTGAGTCACGGCCACAGTTGAGTCGTAATTTTTATGATCTCTTCCCGTTTTCTTTTGTGTTTGCTGTCATATGATGCCGATAACGAGGACGACTCATTAAATCTGTGCTCTGGGCTTGTATGTTGTACAAGCCCAGGTGGTTTGCGAATCTTCAGAGGTGACGATTCCATCGACCCTCCCGGAGCAAGAGAGCGAGCGCCGCTTTTGCGCACAGCGAATTGTGGGTGTCTCCATAGGAATGTGGAGTTTCCTTACTCCAACTCAGAATTGCTGAGATGAATGCCTCCCCCAGTGTGTGTTTGAGCAGGGGGGAAGCACTTTGACCCGAGATATTTTACAGTAGAAGCTATAAAACGAAACAGGTGGTCCACCTTGACTAAGTAGTAATGCTTTGCTTAGGTTGCAGTGGCTTTCTGCCAAGAGTTAATTTGGAAATTTTAAACGGCGCTTTGTTTCGGTTCACAGTGGTAGTAGTGTCCACGTTCATTTTAGTTTTGTGGCTCGTCTTTGGAGGCGATGCTGCCACGATATGGTGGATTGGCACATTCCATTTACAATCGCCGTTCGATTCCGTCTCCTAGCATGGCAGTTGAAACAATAGACACGTCTCTTTAACCCGGGTGCTGTCCACGCAGCGGTATAAATGAACTCCGCAGTTAGTTGGGGGGGGAGCGTGTGGCGGCGTGAACGTGAGTACTTCCACGGTTTTTTTAAAGATGTCTGGCCAGCATGGAAGAGTAGGCCAAAAACACCCTCTGGACGAGCTCTCTGGAGCTTCTGCAAGTGGAGCTCCTTCTGCCAGCCGTGGCGTGAGCAGGCAATTGCTGCGGCTGCACATTTACCACAATTTTGAGCCTTTTGTGCTGCAGTAAGAATCTATTTAACTACATGATGAATACGTACATATCTTGATTTTCCCCAAAGTTTATTTCAGTATTTAAATGTCTATTACTGGGAGGGACACACAGGCGGGCCGTCACGCTGTACGAGCACAGCAGGCGGGATTTTGGAGGTGAATAAAAGCTGTGGATTGCCTGCAGGATTGTGCGTTACGGCTGTGGCTTGGATGTGCGCACCAATTAATGCACACCACCACCCCCTTGTACTCCCCCTTGCTTGCAGCTCGGCTACAAAATAGCACTTCCTTCCCTTCGTGTTGCTTTAAACCACGTTTCAATCATTTAAAGCGGTCATTTGCACAAAAGTCACTCGACTATTATGTGCGCACATTACGTAGCTGATCTCGTGCGCTTGTTTTAACGCCTTACAACTTAGGTTGAGAGTGTTAACGCGTTGCTTCTGCCCGTTTGTCTTCAGCGCGGGGTCATGATACATCTCGTACAGAAGATTCAATATACACACAGCTTTAGTATAAAGTTGCGTAACGGTAAGGGACTTACCTGATCGCAAACTGGCCAGATTAATGAAAGGCATGCCCAAAGCTTCACCATTAAACTATCACTTAAAGGATCATCCTTGTCGACCCAGACAATTATCACACGTCATGCACTTACCTCTCCTCCCGATGACATCATCTCGCGACGTCAGATTTCATGCCCGTGTGATATTCTCGTTGTTCACCGTGGAATGAATCATCATAACCGCTAATGAAATACTTAAGAGTTCAAATGCGTTTTGGAAAGCATTACAGTCCATGAATATGCATGGTTTTTTTCTTCCTTTTTGTTTACTGGCCTTTCTAGCTAAATAAACATCCGAGGGCACATTTTGCACGTTCAAACAATGAACGGCAAGTCACTTGCTGCGGGTTTTGACATTGAAACACAATCGACCAACTCTTGTGTTAATCTTACAGAGACTCTAACGAGCTCTTCCCAGCAGATGGTGCATCGTGGTTGTCCGTTGTGTAATTTTGAGTGATGATTTCTTGGTGAGTTTTTTCACCTTGCACACAGCAGCAAACCTGCAGCGAAGCCGAGGTAGAGTAGGGTAAGCAATTATATTGGTAGGAACCTCCTGGTTACACCAGCCCACAGGGGATTATTGTGTCCGTGCATCCAAAAATGGGAGGGGTGGGGCTGGGTGGAGAGGGGAGGGTGGGGAGGGGCTGGGTGGGGAGGGTGGGGCTGGGTGTAGGGTGGGAGGGGTGGGGCTGGGAGGGGAGGGGCTGGTCACCCCGTGGTGCCCTTATAAAACTCAACGTTCAATCTACTCACGCCGGCTTGTGCCCGCCCTCACAGTCGGCCATATTTGCGGAATACACCACGCCGCCGTTGACCCTGGCCGTTGACCGAGCAACCCAACGTTCCTACCAGCTCCCTCCGCAGGAATGTGTTTATTTTACTTGGAAAGTCAGAAATACACTTTTGCATTGTGCTACTTGTCAAACCTAATTCATCACTAACACATTACTTTTCAAGAGTAACTCTGCTAGCACTACTCATATCGTGGCATTAAGGTGAGTGTACAAGTGCGATGTACAGAACGTCACACTTGTACACTCGCCATTATGACATCGCATACCCATGGGGGTGAATACCTAACAACTTGCATGCGCACTCGTTCTCTACCGGACGTGTTCGGTTTGTCGCACGCATGTTCCCCCCCCCCCCCCCCCGTAATTTAAATTTGATGTTTAAACCCGTTGCCTTTTCATCACTGCGGAGTTCCTGACGTCGGGGTCATAAACAAAACCCGCAGCTGTCCCGCTGAAAGAGCGTAAAGCTAAAGCGCGTGTGGCCGCGCGATTTGCCGAGGGCACGGGCCCAGCAGCCATCCCAGCGGGTGCCATTTGCGAGTCCCTTTTCATGCCCAGGTACAAGGGACGTCTGTCTTTCAAGTCCTGTGTGCAAAGACCACATGCTGTGCTGTGCGGCGTTGCATTTTAAAGGCCGTTGGAGCTCCTTGCTCCGCTCGCTGCGTTATTGCCTCGTCAGCTCTCGCGACTCGATCCAAGCGTGTGTGTGCGCCTCGAGCTAACGATGTGCCTAAATTGGGCAGATGTTGACTTCTGGTTTATTTTTTCCTCCTTTGTGTTGCAGGAAAAAAGGGAATATGATTTAAATGTTGCGTGTGTTTGAATTATGTTTGAGATGCCGCGCTGTAATGTTGTGCTTCTGGCCGGGCCATATTTGACCCTAAATGTTTTATTGGTTAATTGGTTTGTCTGACTTCATAAGCATAATTTTGGCTGTTAAGTGCTTTGAGATTGGGTACTAAATATAACCGTATAAATCACAGAGGACATTCAATTCCATCGGTCTGTAACACAATATACTATTCATATATCAAATTGGACTCATGCATGTAAAAGGCTGATAGCTTTTACCAAAGGCAGGCTGTAATTTGATTATTATATATTAATAATAAAGGTACTGTAAATATTTACCCTCATTGAATTTCCCTGGAACATGCCTCCATTTAATTTACGATCCATATCCTGAGTTGACCAAACATCCTTGCCGAGAAATCTTGCCTGGCTTGAATGAATTTGTAGGCTGTTGTGTCTGTGAAAGAGAGGCGGATAGGGTGTGGGGTGCACACTATTCAGCCTGTCCTACCCTTTACTACTCTCTATAATAAATGCGCAGCAATTACCTAAAACAGCTGAAATTTCAATGACATAAGAATTAACACGAACATTTACAACCTATTTGTCAACCCACTGCTGTATGAAGACCTCCCCAATGCCATGTGATTTGTGGGGGCTGTTGGACAACTATACTTCACACTAGTCCGGTGCAGTTTAGTGAAGATTATTGGGGATTTCTTTGCAGTGCCCTCACCTGCCCACAATGCCTACCACACCTGTGCATAGTACATGGTGGTCACCCGTCCAAACGCTATCCAGGCTCAGCCCTGCTAAACATCCAAGGTCCGATGGGATCGAGCGACATGGTGGGTGATTCGCAACATTTGTATCTTGCCAAATGATATTGAATCCCGTGCCGCCCGTTGCTGCGTAGATCCGGAGCGTGTGACCCCGTGCGCCCCAACCACGACCATAACCACGACCATGACCACAGCCACGACCATAATCACAACCACGACCATAATCACAGCCACGACCATAACCACAGCCACGACCATGACCACAGCCACGACCATAATCACAACCACGGCAGTCGCCACCACTCCCACCAAATCTAATCGCAGTGTCCGAACGGCTCAACAGACACTGAGATGGAGGCCGAGCGCAAGGCGAAGGTGACCCAGTGGCAGCAGCAGTCGTACATGGACTCGGGTATTCAATCGGGCGCGGGGACGCGCGTGCACTCCATGCGGCACATGGACGACGACGACGGGGAAGACTGGGATCCTGCGTTCGGGCAGCCGCAGTCGCAGGGCTTCAGCAGCCGTCACGGTGAGAGGAGGCGGTGGCGGAACGGTCGCTCATTCATTTCGCACCTCGGATCAACGCGGTTGGCCGCGCGCGTTGCGACAAAAGTTCAATAAGCATGCGTACACATTGACGCAAATGCGCCATTCTCCAAAGCGGCGATCGGAATTCGAACTCGCGATCTTCCGGGCCGGGCACGCATCCCACGCTTGAACCGCGTGGCTTCTCTGCTTCGGCAGAGGTGGAGACGTACTCGATGACGCGCCAAGTGCGAGGCGGCGGCGGCATCGGCAGCGTCTTCCCGGACGAGGAGGGCCTGCAGATCGGGTGCGGCCACCTGGACGCGGCGAGCAGCCCCTCGAGCGGCCACCGGCTGGGCGAGCCGGGCCACGCCATGCGCAGCGCGGTGGACAACCTGCTGAGCTACCAGGACGACCCGGACCTGGGCACGCGCGCCATCCCTGAGCTCACCAAGTTGCTGAACGACGAGGACCAGGCACGTGCGCCGCTGCGCCCACACACAGCTCCGTTGTGTTATGGTGTAGCCCGGGTGTGCCGTTGCCGTTGTGTATTGTCAAGCTGTGTTGTTGTGTTGGTGTCAGGTTGTGTTGTGTGTCAGGCTGGGATGTGTGTGTGAGGCTGTTATAGATATTTGGTGGTTACGTGTCTATCTGGCTTTGTTATGTAGGTATACTTTAAATTCAACTGTGTTCTGTGTATCCCGCAGCGTTGTGTAAGTCTGTCTCTGTTAATGGTATCCGGCTGTTTGTTTCTGCTCATTACATTGCCGTTCTTCTTTACCTTCACTGCAGCACTCTTTGTACTGCGTACTTCCATTGCACTTGCGCCAAGGCCTCCCTTGCAAGTGATGCCACACTTTGTCTCAGTGGGCTTGTGAATTGGTTTGACTTAATCACAACCAATATTATTTGAAGCAGCATTTTCTTAAGCGTGCAAACTCTGGACCTGTTTCCGCCTTCAGGGTCTCACCGGCAGAGTCAGAATTGTTGAACAAATTCCGCTGGTATGCGAATGCTATTGACAAGAGCACCGCATCAAAACTACGGGGCCCTCTTGTTTTACCCACAATGCTGCACGGCAACTCATAACGAGCTTGTATATAATAATGTAGCACTGTTGCCTATGTGAGTCCTGCACTGACATTTGTTTACCTTATGGGCATGTTGCCAATGACATGAATGAAATATAAGCCATCACCGTAAAAAAAAACATCAAACAAAACCGCGAATTTAAGGAAACGTAAATAATAAAATCTATTTCGTGTGACTGATCGATGGACTGCGCACACTCGCCGCCGTCGCCGCCACCTTCTCCGCCCGGCGTGCCTGCAGGAGGTGGTGCGGCAGGCCGCCCTCATCGCCCACCAGCTGTCGCAGAAGGCCGGCGGGCAGCGCGCCATGGTGGGCTCGTCGGCGCTGGTGGCGGCGCTCGTGCGCACCATGCACAACACGAGCGACATAGACACGGCCACGCACACGGCCGGCACGCTGCACAACCTGGCGCACGACACGCCCGGCCGCCTCGCCATCTTCAAGTCGGGCGGCATCCCCGCCCTCGTCAAGATGCTCAGGTGAAGGGGGGGGGAGGGGCTCTCTGTTTTGCAGGAGGGAAGTTTCATCGGCAGCAGCCATGATCTATCCACTACTGAATGAAGGCCTCTCAAACCGATTACTTTGCTCCACTTGTGCATTGATAATATTTTTGGGTTTGTCCCGCCTGTTATTCTATTGGTAGTCTCGCCCAGCGGCCATCATCCCTTCTAGCGACGCGTCTTGCCCAAGCCCACTTGCTGTGTGCCCAAATAAGAAAGTTTAAAATCTCTGAACATTACCTGCCGTGACATGGAATTAAAAACATGGATATTGACAAAGAAAATAATAAGAGGAATGGCTTGTCATAATCATGCTTGCAATGCCATATATTTATCTAAGAAAGCCTCAAAGGTGTTCAAAGACACTTTATCGGAAGATTCCTGCATTGGAATATTTGGCCGTTCCCATCTTCATGGGAGACTTGCGTGCAGGAATAACAATGAAGGGTCCAATGCAAACGCGTGTTCAAGAAGTAATTTGCTATGCTTCTATTTTCCGGTGACCTCATAGCCCAACTACTTTTGAAGTTTCACAAGTATATGCGATCCAGCAACACTCTCCTCCAAAATGTTGAAGTGCTGTGGGCTAGGCTTGTAGAATTTGGTTGGTGTTGGACAACCACTGCATTCGAGCCGCATCCAACTTAAAATCACGTGGATCGTGGTGGCAGTCGTGGATCTAACGTACAATAGGAATTAGAGGATAAGGGAATCTCGGATAACGGTGCTCGTCTCTGTTATCTGAAACCGATCGCGGCTCGGCTGTGTGTGCAGCTCTCCCGTGGAGTCGGTGGTCTTCTACTCGATCACCACCCTGCACCACCTGCTGCTCAACCAGGAGGGCAGCAAGATGGCCGTCCGTCTGGCTGGCGGCCTCCAGAAGATGGTGGCCCTTCTCAACCGCAACAACGAGAAGTTCCTGGCCATCACCACCGACTGCTTGCAGATCCTTGCCTTCGGCAACCAGGAGAGCAAGGTGCCCAGCCCGCCCACTCGCGGCGCACTCGCGGCGGCTGCAGCTGTATATCTTCTATATCGTGTGCTTCAGAGTAGCGAGTCAATGTGGCCACATTACCAAAGGGCTGGGTACTGGTGAAACCATAGGATTACTTTTCTAATGTTTTTATTGCAACACCGCAACGTGAGCGCGGTACAGTACGCTGATCGCAAACGGAGGGGGACGGAAAGTCCGCGAACGGCAAGCTGACTTGGGCGCGGCAGCACCATCGGACTCGCTGCCCCACCCAAGTGGGGGCCACGTGCAGGGCCATGAAGATTCATATGGGGAGGGGGAAGGTAACTAAGATACTGGGGGAAGACGAGTGGCCCGGGGGCCGCATGAATACTCTTTGAAATGTGTAATCAGATTTCTAGGCATGCAAGGATTTCCCCCCCCCCTCATAATTCATTGAATTGTGGTGATTTGGGATCACGATTGGATTTAATAATCGGTTGTTGTTGTTTAACGCTGTGGTGATTGTATCGCCACGTGTGGATGCAGGATCACTGAAACCAATTAACGTGCACCACATATGTATTAATTATAATCATTGCACGCACGATTCGAGGCACGTACCCTAAAGGCTAAGATTCGTTTTTGTCCATTGAATATGTTCGTCGATTTGAAACGACGAACATATTCAATGGACAAAAACGACAGATTACCATGCATCACGTGCATTTCGATTATTCTTCATGATAATTGTCTTTTTTAACACGTTCACAATCATTTCAGAAGCGGCGATTTTGCCAGCAGGCTTGGGTTAGTGAGAGGACAACAGCAGTCAGTGCATGTGGACCCGGCTACAGAGCCTACAGTCATAGCAACAGTGCCCTCACTTCGGACATTGAATTCGTGCTTTTCTGTGAGAATTTTAAAAGTAAGCGGGTGACGTTACGTTAAAACTACTTCACACAAGGTTACATTGCTACGCTACAAACCTCAAGGAAAGCTCCTTTCTTTAGAACTGCTTTTTGCGTTTTGTTTGTTGTCCCCCGCACCTCCGATTAGCACGGTTGGCGACATACGGTGTGAAAGAAGTTCAACAGAAATACATACAAGGAAATCTGTTACCAGTGACTCATTACTTTCAAAAGTCACCCTCCAAACACTGACTGTGTCTCCGTGTCACAGCACTGGGCAGGACTGTTGAGACCTTTGGTTTGGCGTGTGTGATAAGAACACGTTTGTGTATACACGCATTGTGTTGTGCACGGCTGGGTTAGGGTGCTCAACCCTGCAATCAGAAGGTCGCGACTTCAAATCCCTCTTCGCCATAAATGCAGCCCATCAGCATCCCTCTCGTGATGCTGAAATTAATAATATGTCTACACAATGACCCTGCTTTTAAAGTATTTAGCCTATTCTTGATTACAGTATTGTGTTTTACCGCTTTTATCAGCCATAGTTCTTTCATGAAATTATCAGACGCTAAGCAGAAACAATTATGCTGAACATATTTCAAAAGCCACGTTTATCTCCATACTCAATCAAGTATTTGGAACTGCTCACGTTACTCAGAATCAAATCTACTGAAGGAATCCGATGTGCTATAAAGTTATTTTTCACAGTCATCGTTGGCCCTTATCCAGTGGCAAATATCCCACGTTACTCTGGATGGAGCCAGTCTGTCCACAAAACAGCCAATGTGGTTTCATAAAGGTGAAGAAGACAATTATTAAATCATTGCTATGAAAGCAACAATGGAAACCTCTTTGGCATCAAGGCATACAGCACAATTGAATGATTTTGTACATGAGAACCTTGAAGAAAACTTAGATAAGGTTTGTGACAATTCCACAAGGAAACATTTGGTTCTTTATCGTGGGGTGTTTTGGATGGACATGATGATTCACGAGTGTGTCTAAAGGCCTACAGCATGATCGGAATGCACTGTTACAGTCAGACAAATAGTGTAAAACCGCAGTTTTTTTCACTATCTAGACCATAGTGTTTAGGTCTGGTCAAAGTTAAAATGTGTGAATCTTCAACGAGCATAGGGGTGGTGCTCATATCTATTGGAAGCCCTGAGGCATTGGTGGAAATTACACATTTTCATGGCGGGAACCAGTCTCTCCATAAGGACAACCGCTGTGAAAATCCTACGAAAAGGTGCTTTTATTTACACTAAAGTGATGATGGCTGGGCTTCTTTGACCGACAACCAAGATTTCAACTAACAACCTTTCAATGGAGTCAAGTCCTCTAACCATAGCACCACCCATCCAGAAAAGCCAAGATAAGTCAAAGAAATATTCAAATGACCATGGGATCCGTGCTCATCTTTTTAGCCAGCATTGGAATTTCCACCTTGACAGGCAGGGGCCATTCTCTCCGTAAGACAACCGCCGTTGATCGCCCACAAAGTGGTTCCTCGTTTTAACGACCGCCGGCGTAGATGATGAGTCCAATTGGCACGGTTTGCTAGGTGCGGCGCGAGAGAATTTCAACATACGATTGTGCAACCGTGTGCGTTGGCGTGCAGCTGGTCATCCTGTCGAGCGGTGGCCCGGCAGCGCTGGTGCAGATCCTGCGGACCCACACCTACGAGAAGCTGCTGTGGTCCACCAGCCGCGTGCTCAAGGTCCTGTCCGTTTGCCCCCAAAACAAGCCAGCCATCGTGGAGGCCGGTGGGTGCACGCACGGCTCACGTATGTTGTATGCGTGTACGTATGTTGTATGCGTGTACGTATGTTGTATGCGTGTGCGTATGTTGTATGCGTGTGTGTATGTTGGACTTCTTTCCCAACGTACGTAGCCAACCGTTGGGTTGAGGGGGAGCACGAGTTGGTGGGTTCACGTGCACCGCGCTTTTTGTTGCGTGTGTATGTGTTTGGTTTGTTGTCTTTGCCCGCACCTCCAATTAGCACGGTTGGATACGTACGGTGCGAAAGAAGTTCTGCACATACACGAAGTTCAACAGCTGTTGGGAGTGCATCAAAGTTAGGGGGCGCGCGGAGCCGCTTGGAAGCTATAAACTGTTGTGCCAGCCGCCGTTCATCAACCGATTACTCCCCGACGTGTTTTTGGGTTGTACTCCGCATTCTTCGGTACCATATTCGAAACGTCGGACACCATGCTGAACAACACGCGGTACAACCCGAAAACACAATGGAGAGCCGTTAAAACACAGCCGTGAACACCTTGTCACCTTGCAGAAGCGTCAACGAATAAGTTAATGCACAAAGGAGGTTAGGTTTTTTTATCACGCAAACACATACAATAGTGTCTATCGAAATCCATCAATGGGATTCATCCAGATGTACTTATTTGAGCAAGGTGAACCCTGAACCCATGTTGTCTTCTCTGAGACTATAAGAAGACAACACATCCAGCCTGTGATTAAACAAATGGTGTGAGAAAACATTAGTCCTAGAATCTATGTATGTATGCTGAAATTATTTCGTACCGTATCTAGCCAACTGCGCTAATCGGAGGTGGAAAGACCCATGGGTTGATAAGTCTAAAATGTTATTTTTGTTCAAGTGAAACGGACCGTTGTCTGATTATTTATTCAGTATTTGTTTTATTTATGTCGTTGCTGTTGACCTGCCAAGACGGCTTACAATAACTTGACTCGTAAAGGCGGATAAGTTTGTGTCATGCATTTGGGATTTTAACATTTTAAGTGTCTCCATGCTCACGTAAGCATGGAGAAGTCCTCGTGTATACTTTGGGTCCTCTGAGCAAGTTGTCGAAATTCCCGGTTCCTATGGCAAGGGCCAGTCTGCCCATGGGATGATCAAATGTAACTATGAAAAATACAGCAACAATGAATAATGATGCATAGGCCAGTTTTTAGAGTAAAACCACATCGATACCATCCTCTCCTCCACTAAAAATTATTTTAGGTCATCCAAGTGTCAGTATTCTTATTTCAATGCTGCAGCTTTAGATATGCTAATCCCTGTATTTTATCTGATATTGTGCTCACAAAATCTTAATCCACGAGCGTTTGTGCAAACAGAGACAAAGGTCTGCCTTTCAACCAGGAGAAAAAAATTCCTGGCTGTGTGTTTACTTTTACTTGGGAGATATTGGCCAGGGATTGACACACTGCCTTATAAGCCCAAACATCCAGATGTGCTCCACGGTTATGTATAATGTCGGTAGACATTCGTATGTGAATCAAGCTTGGGCCTCCCCTAGGTTGACTTGGGACTAAAATGAATACCTGGCGTGGCGCTTTACGATCATTTCGGAATGTATTTCTACTCTTCCTTTCTTTGCGCGGCACTGATTTAGAATGATTTCGTCTCTCATTACACCATTTGCATGTCAACTCTCGTGTACCATCCTTATTCTAGCTCTCTCTGTTGCTCGTTCCTTTTCGTTGTAGTCTTACGGCACCGCTAGGCGAAGCTGGCTAAGTAATGGTGCTTCCAAACACCAGACACTGGCCAATAATAAGCATAATTACAGAAACATTGCCAGCTCAAATTACGATTGTAGAGGCTTGTGAATTATGCCTACTGGCAGCTGGTGATAAGTAGTCGGCCTCCAGATTCTACGTACGGTGGCTGAAGCGATGCTTACAACAGCGAGCAGAGCGTCGGGCAGCGGTAACGCAGCGACTGCCTGTCACTGTTAGTGCAGCCAGCTCAGCCTATTCACATTCGTGACCACATCACTTCTCTCCGTCCCGTGGTGTCACTGGGCACCCAGCCTGGCGCAGGCACCGTGGCTACATCGCCGCAGCTCTGTGCCGAATGGTGGATACGTAGTCGAATTTGCGCATGCGCGTGTGGGGGTCCATCGGGCGTTGTTGAGGGTGTATTTATGTCCGTGCAGGAGGCATGCAGGCCCTGGCTTTGCACATGAACAACCCCAGCCCACGTCTCGTGCAAAACTGCTTTTGGACGCTGAGGAACCTGTCCGACGCGGCCACAAAGCAGGTGAGCAAGTTGTCTCGTCCGTACGGGGATTAGACTCTCATGTCGGCAACTCCTCAACAGTGGGGCCGGGTGGTTAGTATAGCTACTCTTTAGCCACCCAGTCACCTCTTTACGCAGCTGCTTTGCATTGTGGTCTTAAATCTAGAGTGTTGTAGTCTTAGTTCTGTGATAACGTACTTCATGAGACTCGAATCGGAAGAAAAACTGAAGTCGTACATGTGCGTCATCAGAAAGAGTTAAAGGCCACACTGGGAATCTGTGTTTCTGCTGTCACCTGTGCAGGAGGACATGCAGGAGCTGCTGCACATGCTGGTGGAGGCGCTGAGCTCTCGGGATTTGAGTCTGGTGACGTGCGCCGCTGGGACGCTCTCCAACCTCACCTGCAACAACTCCAATAACAAACTCGCAGTCTATCAGGCACGGCCGGACACACGCGCGCGCGTGTGTGCGTGTGTGCACGTGGGTGTCTGCGTGTAACATGTGTCTCACGCGCGTGTGTTTACATGTGTGTGCCTCGCAAGTAGTGGGGAGCTGCAGTGCAGCGATTAGCGCGCTGCGCTACGAACCTGGCGGCCCGAGTTTGGTTCCCACTCACGGTGAACACCAGTGACCATTATCTGAATCGGTCCTGGGCCTTTCCTAGGTCAACTCAGCCTGAAATTAGTACCTGGTGCGATGTGGAGACATCGACACGCGGGAGACAAAGGCAGCTGGGCGTGGTGCTGACCACCCAGGTTATCGTGTACCGTGCCAGCCTTCATAGGTGCTCACTAACAGCACTTGCCCCAACAGTCTCTTCAGGCTATATGGGGGATCTTGGTCTTTGTGCCTCCAAGTATATGTGCACTTGTGTGCGTGCATGCATGTGCAGAGAGTAGCACTAGGGAGACAAAGGCAGCCATCTCGGTGTCGTGCTGGTCATACCAGCCTGACTCATTAGCCTCTTGTATCAAGTTCATTTTACATATTCTTGGTTCTTTCGGTAAAGTCACATAGAAGGGAAATAATAAAATAAGAAAAATAAACATAATAAAATACAATTCTCACGACGTTTCGGCCACAACGCAAGCAGCCGTCCAAAGGTGAAGAACACCGGTGATAATTGTATTTTATTATGGTTTATTTTTATTATTTTATTATTTCCCTTCTACGTGACTTTACCGAAAGAACCAAGAAGATGAATCCCTGCAGTCACGAAAGCTTTAAATCGAAAAAATGCATTTTACATAGTTAACTCCTCGTATATAAAACTAAACAACACCTTCAAACATGATAGACACTGCGTTATGATGAAAAGGGATGGTCGAGACAAATGACGGAGTAGCAGCCAAAGGAGAGAGTAACTGCGGAACCCCTTTTGCAGATGGGCGGCATCGAAGCTCTGCTGAACACCGTGGAGCACATGGGCGGGCACGAGGACATCCTGGAGCCGGCCGTGTGCGCCCTGCGTCACCTGACCAGCCGCCACCAGGACGCCGACATGGCCCAGACTGCCGTGCGGGACAGCATGGGGCTGCCCCTCGTCGTGAAGCTGCTGCAGCCGCCCTCCAACTGGCCGCTGATCAAGGTGCGGAAGAAGAGAGCGGAGCGAGCGTTGGTTTGATTCAGCCGCCGGTGGCTGTAAGCCGACGAGGTTTGCCAACGCTCCGATGTGCGTGTTTTTCGGGTTGTGCCGCGCGTTGTCCGGGATGACGTCTGACGAATAGCGTCTCGTGTTGGGCGCTTCTTCAGGGCCAGAATTGAAATGAAATGTAGCTACTCAAGAAGCTCCCGGCGTGTGGAGAGAAATGTCAAAGGCACGCGCCGAGCATGCATGGCGGGGCGATAGAGCAGCGCAGCCATGAAAAACCTCCACAGGGGTTTTTGTCAGCGGTTTGCAGCTGCGAAAAGAGGTGACGGAATGGCTCAGGAGTAGCTATATTACGATTCAGCCCCGACTGAATCGACCATCCGAGTTTACGAATTGATGTCTTCTTTTTTATATCTTGTTTTATACGGTCTCATTTTTTTTTCTGTTCTGTTATGCCCTGTCCATTCGACAGAATGTAACATTAACATATCAGTTGCATATAATTGACATACCATGTAAATAAGTAATTATCTCCCGGCATCATTAAATGCATGTGTTTTAAGAATTGACTTCAACTAATACATTTATCCATAATTGAATTACTACTCAATGGGCTGTGTTTGAGCACCACTTACACTGCTGATATATTACATTCTAAATAAATGTATTGAGTTGATGGTTTCAGCCCAGTCACCAATAATTGGCCATAAATATCTGTAATATTTAATTTAGTTTATTACTTCATTCAGCTTTTTTTAAGTATAATGACGAAAACATTTAGGTTTTATAGCTAGGCAAACAACAATATTTTCAAGGCATACATAAGATATGCTACCTGGTGTCGATAAGGGGCCTATTGGAGAGGCTTCAGAAGTAGTTCTGTGATATCAACTTCTGGGAGCCGTTCTCTAAGAATGCGATCTTATTGCATTCACTGTGAGAGTTATGAATTTAAATTCACTTGTAACGCAGATTACCAAATAGAAAAATAAAGACATTTGCAGTCGAACGCATAGGCACGCTTGTGTATATGTATGTACAGTATGTCCGTATGCATACGTATGCATGTGTGTGTGCCCGAGTGTGTTTGCACGTGTCTGTGCGTTTACGTGTGTGTGTGTGCGAGTGTGTTTGCACGTGTCTGTACGTTTACGTGTGTGTGTGTGGACCCGAGTGTGTATGCACGTGTCTGTGCGTTTACGTGTGTGTGTGTGCCCGAGTGTGTTTGCACGTGTCTGTGCGTTTACGTGTGTGTGTGTGTGTGCCCGTGTCTGTGCGTTAACGTTTGTGTGTGTGTGTGCGCGCCTGTGCGTTGGCTCGGCAGGCTGATGTGGGGCTGATCCGGAACCTGGCGCTGAGCTCGGCAAACCATGCTCCGATGCGCGACGAGGGCGTCGTCCATCGTCTCGCACAGCTGCTGATTCGAGCTCACCAGGACACCCTGCGCACAGCTTCAGGGACTCTCCCCCAGACCGTGGTGAGCACCCATCGGTATCGTCGTCATCATCGTCGTCATCATCACCGTCATCGCCATCGTCTAAATTTAATTCTCGACAGAAGTAGACACAGCGGCATCGGGGACTCTTCCCCCAGGCCGTGGTGAGCACTCATCTTCATCATTGTTTATTCGGAGAGCGTTAAGGATGTAATGAGTCTATTGAGATTTCTGGGAGACACGCGGAGGCTTTGAATTAAAATGTGACGTGAGCAAGAAACTGCAGGGCCGCACCTTTGCCTTTTTACCTCGTTCAGTGGCTTGTCTATGAATAGATCGCCCCGTGTATATTTTCACAGTAAGAGCACGGGGAGGCCGATTCCTTGAAGCGTCCCGCGTTCGCGCGTGGCTTTTGAGCGGCGGTGGGCATTCACGGCCACGTGCGCTCCTCTGTGCAGGACGGGATCCGGATGGATGAGATCGTGGAGGGCTGCACGGGCGCCCTGCAGATCCTCGCCCGTGACCCCACGAGCCGCTCGCTCATCACCAGCCTCAACGTCATCCCCATCTTCGTGCAGGTGCGGCCGCTCGCTTCGTTGGTCCACAGGGGGTGCACCGCCGGCCCTCCGTGGCCACACATTCCTTTTTCTTGGCGTTTTCGTAATGCCAGGCTGTGACGGGGAGGCGCTTTTGTTTCACGCACGAGTAGAGTTGGCCAACAAGGGTATCGTTTGCCGTGTGGTTTTATACAATTAAGTCAATAGTGGGTCTCCAGTAGATACATCAGACCCGGCCATGCCAATATGGAATTTCCCCTTCAGGCTCAGGTCTGCCAATGGAAATGGCCACCACTCAACAACGCTAGTTCTAGCAGGCGAATGTTGTGACGTTCGACTCGTACATTTGCTTACAATTAACTCTGATGCAATAGACTCATGGGTAATGTATTAGTGGAATGCAAACTTAAAAATGTGCCCAGCATCCTCAGCTACAACTCTCCAAGTCTCATCCCAAAGCCTGTCAGCATCGAGACTTCTTGTCCACAGCTCCCCCTTCGCTCACCGCACCCCAATCTCTCCCGAAAATCCCCCCCCCGTCCTCCACACTGCAGTTCATGGGAAACTTCAAAGCGTGAGAGTGTCAACAACAGACAGCCGCCTATTTAGAGTTGGACTTGTTAAGGCTGCCCTGTGTCACTGGGTCACTGTGCACCCTGCTTTTTAAGCAGCTTCTTGATTTGCGGAAGGCCACGAGGAGCTAATGGTGCATTGTGTGCGCGCTGTGCATGTGTGTGGGAGGTGGTATGTGGTTTAAACATGGTGAGAGTGTCGCCACCGTGCTCTAATGAGCATTGGGCAGTGCTCATCTCCATTGGCCGTCCGGAGTCAGCGGTGAACATCTATTGATTGGACAACCACTATTGATTTCCTTCAAAGGCGTACTTATTTTATTGACCGAGCAAATGTTCGGTTTTATCTCGCGACCTTCCAATCTGAACTCTCATGGCCTTGTGATTGTGCTGAATTCAGCATCGGGTGGTACGAGTCTCCAGTGTTGGTCTTGAGCCAGGAGTGGAAATTCCACATTCACATGGCAGGCACCAGTATTCACACAGTACAACCCCAATGTTATCCAATCAAGTTTCCCGCACCTCCGATTAGCACGGTTGACTATGCACGCTGTGAAAGAAGTTCAACTTACATACATTTTCAAGCGCTCTTTCAAAGGGGCAAAACCACAAATGTCATAGCTTTTCTTTGAATAAAAATTAATGTGTGCTTGTCGCCTACGCGCATTGTGCCGTGCACTTTTACTTCTTTATTCCATAGAGTCTTTGGAGATAATCTCTACCATCCTTCCAGATTTATATGGGAAACAATCAACACCCACACTCTGCCCGCGCATGTTGTGTGTGTCTCCCTTGTGTGTATGCATGTTGAACTTATTTCGCACCGTACATAGCCAACTGTGGCAATCGGAGGAGGTGCGATTAGCACGGTTGGTGGAGGGCCGTCTGCCAGGAGTGGCACGAGAAGGCAATTGCAGGACTGCACCTTTACCTTGTAGATATGCATGCCGACTCTGTTGATGGGGTAGCACTCATCTTTGCCTTCGAGCCTTGTGCCACTGCCTTGTGCCACCGCCAATCATACTATTCAGAATCAGAATATTTTTTTATTCTGGAGGAATCCAATGAGCTATGAAGCTCTTTTTCACAGATGTCCAGTTGGGGCGCAGGTCAGAACGTTACAACAACAAACAACACAAAAACACGATAGGAGTGCAAGGTGTAGGAACCTGTAAACAAATCACTTAAACAAAGTATGCAAATGAAACTAAACTCTTTCTATCTTACCAGGTAAAGCCCCCACTGAGTTATTAGCTTCGTTTTCAGAAGCGACCTGGCCACAAATGATAGCAGCTCAATGAAGTGGCTCGTCATCGCCATCGTCATCGTCGTCGACACGTGGACATGTACAGCAGCCAACGCGTGCCGCCCCCCACTCCCCCCTTGTCCCCGTGCGCAGCTCCTCTTCTCCCCGAACGAGAACGTGCAGCGCGTGGCGACGGGCGTGCTGTGCGAGATGGCGCAGGACAAGGACGCGGCCGACGCCATCGACGCCGAGGGGCCCAACCCCATCCTCACCGAGCTGCTGCACTCGCGCAACGAGGGAGTCGGTAGGAGACGCGTAACAAACTCCCAACGCGCGGAAATGGTGCCCGAGTTGGGAATAGAACCCGCCGGAGCCCTTCTTGCCGTGACGGCCACGAGTGTGACCACTGACGGCTGGCTGGGTGGAGAACTTGATCCAGCAGTGCATAGATCATGGCTGCTGTTGATGATTCTTCTTTCGTGTGGCAGGAGAGAAAATAAACCGTTTTGAAACGTGTTGTAGTTGAATGCGAAGTGTTTAGACCGACCCAAGGCGGCAGTAGACGCTATGTGTGTTGCAGTGACGCCGCCAGCATGTCGCATGGACGGTGCATTCGTTGCCGATTAATTTGATCGCTTGGACTTCGGAGTCGCAGTGAACGCGCATCTCCCACGTTGCGCTCGAGCGTCGTTTAGCGAGGTCCATAGTCGCCGTGGGAGAGAGAAGCCCCGTTGCTTCCAGTCGGGTCCTCAACGAGGTTTACGTTTGCCACGCCACGTGACGATTGATGATATCGGCGATCTGTGTACCTCCTCTGGTAACGGATTTCCTCGAATGTACGTATCTATGTTGAACTTATTTCGCACCGTACGTAGCCAACCGCGCTAATCGGAGGTGCGGGGGAAGGACAACACACTAAACACAAAAAGCAGTTCTAAAGAAATGAGTTTTCCTTGAGGTTTACGAGCAGCAATGCAAATCAATCTTGCGTGAAGTATTTTTAACTCTCGCCCCCCCCCCTCTCCCTGTCGTGTCCTCTCTGCCGTGGCTCCCGTAGCCACGTACGCAGCCGCCGTGCTGTTCCGCCTCTCTGAGGACAACCCGCAGGACTTCCAGAACCGCTTCTCGTCCAGCTCGCTCTTCCGGCCGGACAACCAGAGCTGGCAGCAGGAAGTGAGACCCCGCTCGGCCAAACACAACAAAGACAACGATTCCCCCCCGTAGTCTTCGCAGAGTGTAGGGGCAAGTGCTGTTAGCGAGGAGCACCTATGAAGGCTGACACGGTACACGAAGGGGTGGGTGACCAACACCACGCCTGGCCGCCTTTGTCTCCCTAGTGGAGATGTTTACTACACACGGTAACAATTACCAATTCTAGGCTGTGTCGACCTAGGGGAGGCCTAGGACATGTTCAAATCATCGTCACTAGTGTTGGTCGTGTTGCGGGAATCGAACTCGGGTCCTCTGGTTCGTAACGCAGCGGACTAACTGCTGCACCACCGCTCCCACACACACATATATACTTAAGTAACGTTGCACCACTGCAGACTTTTTTCGATTCAGGCAAAGTAGAGAGGACATTCTGCTATGAAGATCGGCCTTCGCCCAACATGTCACCCTGTATACATGTTGTCCCTCGACCAGCGTCATTGACGAACCTATTGAGTTCTTGTTTAACTCCCTTATGCGCGAGTTATTTAAGCTAAAAACCCCTGCCCCCCCAAATCAAATGTTTGGTTTAATTCGATTTTAGGAGTCAATGCGTTTACAGTGTTTCTTATCATTTCATGCCATAGTGATACATTGACATGAGAGAGGGTCAAATTAGCAGCTCAGCCATGAAGTGGACAGGTAGATCAATACGATCGGATTCACAATTTCAAAGGAACTTAATCTGGCCCGGTGACGCTGTGGTTAGAGAACTCAACTTGCAATCAAAATGTCAGCCCACAATATTTTGGGGTTCTATAAAATAGCTACCACTTTGTGTAATCGGACAAGAGGGATTGTTCTCGGTGATTTGCCCCATCAGAAAAATGAGGAACCACCACCACTGGCCCAGGGCCATCAACAGAGTTGAGCATCCTGCATCGTGCACGATTGTGCTTGAATATCTAAATATTCAATGTTTAATAAATATTGCGGAATCTTGGATGTAGAGTCACATTCGACATATCCATCATTTGATGAGTCAAACATGAGAGCTCCATCATATCAGGAACAAAGTATCACTCAGCCACCCTCTATTAGTTCTGTGTATTATGGTATTCATCACCACCATCGGCGGCCGTGATCAATCCGCTGGTGAATGATGAACGCCTTCCAAAGCCGTTGCCAATTCCTGTCTCAAGAGCTGATTTCTGTTTCTGCAGGGCGGTGAAATCGACTTGATGACTCCTGAGTATTATCAAGAAGGTATGTTGATTGCAACCTTTTAATTAGGGCAAAGCAACCACACATCTCTTAATTGTGCTCACATTTGAAGGATTCATTTCAGTGAGAGAGCTAAGCTACCTACACACACACGTTTGTATATTTGCACACAGATCGTCTATTTGTGGTTGTGAATTCAGGTCCTTTACATTGAGAATCCTGGTAGTATAAGGTGCATTGTTCAAACATGCATTCTAATAGCCTTTTAGATTTTAATTGTTTAGGTTTAAACAGAATGAGATAAAAAAAACACATGTTTATTTTGTGATTATGAAGGTTTAAAACAATGAGCACCGATCAATCAGGAGTTAGTGATAACAACAATTTACGTTTACAAGGCACCCTTAAGCAATGGATCTCGGAGCGCCATTTCAGTCACAACCCACAGTTGAATCGGCGATGACGATGCGGGAAGACGGCCGAGCGTGCCGTCTTGTTTCCCGAACGAGAGAGCTTCGTGCAACGCTTGCTCCTCGCGCTGCCGACTCTCTTCCAATCCCCACTGGCTTCGATGCGCTCAACCGAGATGTTAACAGAGCTCGTTTGCCGTTAACCCGTGGCTGCTTTGCCTCTCGCATGCCTTCGGTGTGGGGGCCTTGAAAAGCGTGGAGAGGCCGTGGCTGTCCTAACCCCCTTGCCTCTTTGCCCTGCTCTGCTTTCTTCCCTTAATCGTCCTTCTGCTTCATTATCCGTTTAATTTACCCCCCATTAACAACGCCTGTGCTGCACGTCGCTCCCTTGCCTTCGTCCCCTGCTTCGTCTCCCACGGGCTCCCCTCGTCGTTCACCGTCTCCCTTTCCTCGTCTTTTCCATCGTCTCACGAGTCCCCTGTCCTGTCCTCTGCCATGTCCTCTCCTTGTCTCCCTTCTGCTTTGTCGTCCCTGAACCACGTCCTTCCTTCCTTGGCTCGTCCTCAATCGACGTTCTCCAATCCCTTCCACCGACGAGCTTCTCGTCTCCTTCCCCATCCCTCTCCCTACCGTGCCTCACGCCTCGTTTCTCGCCTTTTTTGTCCTTCCATCCATTTCCCTGACCTTGACGTAAAAACCACAAAACCCTTCAACCGCTTATCTTAACCCTCGCAGGTACCCTGCTCCCCGCACGCTACCCCAGCCACGCTCCAGCCCCTTCCCCCGGTGCCACCCCCTACCCCTCTTCCCACGCTGGCTCCGAGCACGGCTTGGCCTATCCCTCCGCCGGCGGGGGAGGGTTCTCCGACGGCGATCTGTTCTGGGCCGTGTCCGAGCTGACGCGCGCGGGGCCCAACTGCACCTCCGAGCCGCCCACCCCCGGCAGCGTGTTCGCCGCCGACCCGGCGTCCCGGGCTGTGCCCGATCGCCAGGGCTTGCCTCACGACGGCTACTAGCGGCCCCTCCACTCGCTCGCTGGTTCGCGCACGGCGCTTCCGTCGATCCAATCGAATGAAGCGATCGCTCCAATCTCGCATGCGATGCTCCCGTCGATTCAATCAGCCCAAGCGATCGTTCTGATTGTCGTTTTGCAAGGTGGCGGGGTGTCAGTGTTACCAGATCGGAGTTGGAAGCTGCGTTGATTTTAGTTTCCACGCACGGCACGGTGGCACATTGCTGCGGAGGTGAGAGCTGGTCGTCTATGTAGGTTTGTGAATCTCCAAACCCTGTTGGGCTACGAGGTAGCCTCGAGACGGCAGTACAGCAAGTTGGTTTGTGAACCCATCTGTGCGGGCCTCGTCAGTGTTACGCTTCGTGCACATGGGGTTTTTCCAGGTGCTGTGGTTCCCTTCTGCATGCAAAGCGCTCGCTCGTTGCCATGGGATTGGCCAAGCATCCCAGTGCAAAGTCCCGATGGAAAATGTATGGTATTCGATGAGGCTTTCTGGATAAATAAATGACGTTATTAATTGGATTGTATTTGGTTTGGTTAGAATGCAAAGTTTGTAATTTGTAATACTTTAGGAAATAAATAGTTTAATTCTAGTTTATGTATGTAGTTTAGCATAATTTGTTTCACTTTTAACAAAGAGCGATGCCTTCTTTGCAGGATTAACTCGTTCAGATGAATCGTAAATTGTAAATGCAGTGGGTTTATTTTCCCTGCGCGATTTCCACATTAACGCTACGAGAAATAGATTAGTTCCTTGTTGTCTATTAAAAGACAAAAGCCTCCTCCAGAATCTGGTAACACTGCCATGGGGATGAGATGCGCGTGGGACGGTGCTCATCACTGTGGGTCTTGAGCCAATGGTGGAACTTCCACATTCCCGTGGTGGGGAAAGTTCCAACATTGGGGCGACCACGTTTGACTGCCCGCAAAGTGGTAGTGATTTTCTCAACCCTGTCGAGATGATGGGCTGAGTTGACTTCCACTATCAGGAACTGAACCCGACTTCTGAGTTCTTGAGTCAAGCACTCTCACTGCAGTGCTACTCACCGGGGCTCATAATGGCCAAGATCCCTGGGTTCAAATCCAGGCTTCATTTCCTATGAGTATTTCGGATGAAAGTCGGCGCCGCACCACCATCGTTAACACTGTCTTACGAAAGCTGTGTGGTGCAGTCGGAGAGATGAAGTAATGGCGTTGTATGTAAATGTCAGCTCCCTTGATTTCGATGACTTCTTCATTCGTAACAGAGAATCTGGAGTTAGCCTATGTTTTAGGCAAATGCCCCATTTCAATAATATTTCGTTTGCTCCTCTGCCCTAAATGAGCGCCATTGTGTGCAACAGTCACCCCGCTGTACTATTAGACAGCTGTGTTAATGATGCTGGTGAGGTGGTTCCCGATCTACGCTTGCACCCATTCGCCAGTGCGGCCCCCCAAGTTTTTATTTGCGGTGAAATCAGTTTGTCAAGTGCAGCGAATTTCATGGTATTGGCTCTCTCAACATTGCAAAGAAGAACACTATTAAACATTCACTTATTTTGGCACAGCCCAGATCTACGAACTGTAGAGCGTGATGCACACGCGGGGAAAACGCTCTTTGCGGAGCTTGGGCGAGTGCCGTCTGGCGTTGGGTGAGAGAGACCGACTGAATTGACTCCAGAGGTAATTCTGTGGCGTCGTCTTCACGAGTCTTTCCTTGACGTGAGGCAGCGCCCTGACTGGCTCAAGGAATTCTGGCAAGACGTTCTATCACCTTAATTCATGACTGTGTAATTGGGGATGACATACACATGCTTTACTGCAGCTTTGAGTGGCTGTGGAATGCCCACGGTGTGGCTAAGCTTCGAAGGTACAGGTGCGTGTGTTCCCCTGGGGAGGTTTGCAGTGTTTGGTGATTCAGTTTCTGCAGTTGCCCAATGGTATATTGGAATATATATATATGTGTGTGTGTGTTGTTGGCTGAACATTTTATTTCAAAATCCATGAAAATATTTTACAATAGGAGGTCATTGTGAACTGCCACGACGGCTCCAACCTGTACATTATGAAAAACAAATCCACGAATTTAAATACTCGAATTACTGTCCCACTATAAAAGGCAGTTTTACTCTCGGAAGATAGGTCATTCATCCCAATGGGCCTTTATTTCTTTGCTTAATGACCGTCGGTCGGATTAAGACCTTGTTTCATCAACTCCGTTCGCAATTGTTACATTTTCTGATGAGTTCTTAACCTTTCGTCATCGAGATGAGTCGAGTTCCTTTAAACAATGAAGGAAACATTGATAGCTACACGCAAAGCTGTGACGATGACCCGAGTCTTGTGGATATTACTGGCTATTAAAATGTCAAAACCTATGAGGAAATCAGGCAAGGCCCAATACTTTACATATGCAGTCTTTACTGCTGGTGGCATCACACACTCTTAATCGTACTAACAACTTTTTCTGTGATGATGCTGATGCTGCAGTTGGACTGCATCTGTAAATTATCGATGCATATTTGCGAGAAGTCTCATGACGGCGCAGCGTATAGGTTCAGCAACAGAGAGTCAACGGAGAGTCTCACTGTGTAGTCTTTAGGAAGGTTCAGAATAGATATTTGTATCTCTATCCGTTGGCGCGCAATATTTACCTCCGATTGGCACGGTTGGCTACATACGGTGCGAAAGAAGTTCGAAATACATACATTTGCTAAGATCTATATGTTGGTCATTTTCAAATATTGTCCAAGTTTTCACAATGGTTATATAGTTCGATATGGTTATTATGGATATTTTGTTCAATGCATATTGGAGCCCATTGGGACATCTGAGTAACATCAAGTTTTTTTGGATACAGCAGAGGACACATTATGGAGGGAGCCAACTGTTTTCTTGTCATTGTTACAATCGATATAAAAGGTTAGGAAGATGTCGATACCAGTACGTTTTAAAAGGTTCAATAGAAATACAGCAGAAGCTGAATATGAGCACAACCCTTTGGGAGTAAGGCCACGTGTGACCTTCTGCCTTCCCCTACCACTGCAATGCAAGCCTCTGTTGCTTACCAGAACTGTGCTAATATAAGGTGTGCTTATATCCAGATTCCGTATGACATTTAAATATTTTGCCGAAGCTGAAGCGGTGACAGTATTTCCACGATCAAAACGCAAAGTGCAGCTAAATCCAAAATGTGAGCTGTTCCTCTCCATGTCGCACGGTCCATTCGTTGTGCGAGATCGACGTGACGGCTGAAGGGAACGCGCACAACTATTTCAGGGCTCTCACGAGTGTCTCCCTCTCGAGCAGGTGAAGTGGAGGCGTGGTGAGGAGGGCACTGGACGGACCACCCAGGACGAGAGGACGGATCTGGCCACGATTGCAACACAAATGAATGGTCTCCCTCCTGCTACTATAAAAACCATAACCGCCCATGGCAAAATCAAACATGCAATAGACACTTGTGAATGGTATTCAATCAGCGGAGGGGGGTGGGGGGGGCCTTCGAATATTAGGATGCACACGCACACCTGCATTCACAACCAGAAGTGTTTTCTGCTGCACGCTGCAGCGTTGAATTGACCTTTATTTGGCATTCAGAAAGCACGACTTCCGTTGTTTGGGATATATATAATTGGCAGGTAATGGCATCAAGATTCCTCGTGCAATGTGATACTGCATTCCTGAAAATGCCAAACAAGTTGTAATTGTACAATAATATCCTCTGCACTTTTAATGCCATCTGCAAGCTGTTATCTGTTGCCTGCAGTGGTTATGCTAATGACGAAAAATTCAGGTAGTGTGCCTCCTAATGTTCCTGGACATATGTAAAGTTTAACATGAGTACCATATTGGGAATTTTGCCACGGAGTTGTCCGAGTGTTGTAGTTGGGCTCATGCCGGTCAGAGCACAGTGTCGGCACGGCCGACATCCTGGGTTCACATCCCGGCAAACAACTGTTATTGAACAAGGCACTTCATGTATAGCGAGCCTGTGGAATCCCCCAATCACCAATCACTGCAGATATCTTATCTTCAACTCGCCTGCTATTTTTAATGCCTTAGCCGTAGTGGTCCTGAGCCCCACAATAGATCAGTCACTTGTCCACACAGCTCAAGAGCACAATCTTGAGATTTGGAGGAGATAAACCCTTGAAGGATATCAAGCGAAGATCTATGATATGACATGGATTTTCTGTGTAGAGGGTGCTCTGTAAAGGACAATTGTTTTCACTCGTTTCTTTGCCAATGGCACAATTGAGATGAAATTTAAAACGAAGTGCCCCTCCCGCCCCCTCCCTCAAGCAAGGGATGGGGGTGGCGCTCGTCTCGATCCGAGGCCCGGAGTTGCTGGTGGTGATGGGTGGCCTGGTCTCCAAAGCATGGCCACGATTAACTATCCATGAAGTGGTTCTTATTTTATGGATGCTGGAGGAAAGATGGACTAAGTCACCCCTCCCCACCACCACCTAACACTAGCAGGTGAAATGTTATTATGTTTTATTTTTATTATTTTATCACTTCCCTTCTCCGTGACTTTACCGAAAGAACCCAGAAGATGAACTAGCAGGTGAAGTATCTGACCACAGCACCAGTCGGCAGTTTTTTTGGTAAATCATGAAACGTGGAACAGGAAAGGGAACCAGTTGACTGGGCCCTTTTGCCAGCGAGAATATTAGTCGGGCTTCGCGGGCTATTTTTTCTTGTTATCACCAGATTGCTTTAGGCATTGCAAACGCATCACGTGGAATTTGCCGTAATAACGTTTTAGCACAAATGCAGTTGCTTTGGACACCAAAATAGGGGGTGTGGGGTTGAGGGACGCGTTCGTGTAGTTACAAAATCGTTCTCTGGTCCGGTTTTGTCCGTGGGTCATGATGTTGTGGGGCACTTCTGGAGTTTATTTTGGTTGTGTAACGTGCTAGTTTCTGAGTGCATTTAGCCACTGCCTTCCCAGACAAGAGGCCGGATTTTAAGGTGATCAGTTTCTGTTTTTGGGTGAAAACGTCGCCCAACGTCTCCATTCCAGGGGAGCGTGGGGTCATCGTCATCACTCGGAATCGATGCTCCGCGAAGTTTCTTGGATTAGGACAAAGAGACGAATATTTGTTACGTGGACTCTACCAATAATGTATCTTGGGAAAGCTTTCAGATTTTAGAGAGGTGACTTTTGGGTTTTATATAAAATTGTGTTTTATCTGCCTCTATGTTGATACAAAAGATGATGGTATGTTAAATGTCATTTTAGTTATTTTTTCTGTTGCTTTTGTTAAGTTTGTAAAGCCTATGGTTGTGTGCATTCCTAATAAAGAATCTGCTAATTCTACACCTGTACGCACCGCGGTGTATTATCACTAATGAGTGACAACCTTGGCAAATTGCCGCTCGGTTGGTGTTCGAGTGCAATGGTTGGAGCGCTTGGCTCGCGATCAGAAGGGTAAGTAAGGGGAGTTCAAATTACCATTAGGGTGCCAACTTTGCCTGTTATCTGATCGGAGGTGGTAAAATTAGGAACGCGTGTGCAGGCTACATGGACTGCCACCGGTCACGGTATTCTGGCATACAGTGCGCATAAAGCGATTATCGATATTTTTCTATCTGCGTTCATGCCTGCGAGAGATGCCACCGTGGTTTTTAATGGTCAGCGCGCTGACCGATCTCGTGTTGCCGAGTTCCTTGAACCTCGCTCGCCTACTGACCGATTGACGCCACCCCATGGGCTCTGATGATGCAGCTACTGCGCCACTTGCAGGAGCCTCACGCCGATGCCACACTGAGCAGTCGTGACCCGCGCCAGCCGAACATGAAAGGGCCGACGCTCCGTGTGATGTCGAATGTGCCACGTAATGAGCACACACGCGCGCGCCCGTGAGGACATCTGCTGCCATTTCTATTACGGTATTGCCCGTTCCAAACTGGCAGTTTTTGAGAGCCCTTTGAAGCCACCTTGTTAGTGTTTTATTTTATATATATATTTTTTTATTTTTGTCATCAAATATTCGATTTAGAGTCTTAATAATCACACAATCATGAGCCCCCAGCCTCCAACGAAAAAAAAGTAAGTTGAGAGAATATGAAAAAAAATCGATGCTCACCAGACTTGGCTTCCAGTCACTTCCACGCATTCCCACAGTCTGTATGTTGAGCTTCTTTCGCACCGTACGTAGCCAACCTTGCTAATCGGGGGGGGGGGGGGGGGGACAACAACTCCAAACAAAAGCAGTTATAAATAAATCCGTTTTCAACATCGATTTAAAAGTGCCGAGCTCCAGTGGCTTCCCAATATCGAAAGGAAGAGCGTTCCAGACGGCCGCAGAAGCGCATCTGAAAGCGCGCGATGCGGTGACCGTCCTTGTTCGATGTATAGCAAAAAAAGACAATCACCTGTGGGGTGCGGCGATGATCGTGTGGGACGCGCGAATGGGTGGTTTGAAGGGTGAGACGAAGGGTTCTTTCACGCAATTCTCGTAACATCGACCCACCAAGTGCATTGCGCTTCAAGGTAACGGTGCAGAAAAACAACAGTTTTTATTTATCAAGCAGGGATGGGATCTTAAAGAATGGGCCTCGTGCCGATCTTTGCTTCTAAGCCTGTGCCATTAAATGTCATCCTTACCTCACCCGGTCACCTGTAAGACATCGACCAAGGTCACCGGCACAGCTGTACCGGATATTCGTAATGGGAAGATACATCAATGGCTCTGCAGGGGGGAGCTTGGAAAAGGGATGCAATGGGCTGCTGGAGGCTGGATTATTGTGCGGTGCAAGACAGCGGCGGTGTTTTTCATTAGGCAGCCTTCTCAGCGGATGCCACATTTGTGTGACTTTGCAGCGCACGGTTTTGCATTACGCCCGACGCAGCAGATACAAGGGCACGGAATGTCACGTGGCTCAATTAAGTGCAAAACGTGTATGCAGCGTACAAGATGCCGCCGAGGTGTGATGGTGGGCACACTGGGCTTGCAATCCAGAGGTTGGGTACCGCAGAAGGCAATTGTCAGGGCGTGTGTGATGGGGTAAAATGTGTGTACTCCCACCCTTTTTCAATATTTTTGGCCAGCGTGGAAGAGTAGGCCAAATACCCACTACACGGCTTTGTATGTATGGTGAACTTCTTTCGCACCGTACATTGCCAACTAGGGTAATCGGAGGTGCGATTAGCACGGTTGGTGGAGGGCCTTCTGCCAGGAGTGGCACGAGAAGGCAATTGCAGAACTGCACCTTTACCTTGTAGATATGCGTGCCGACTCTGTTGATGGGTTGGCACTCATCTCTGCCTTCGAGCCTTGTGCCACTGTCAGAATAATCCAAATTCATATGGCAGGGACCAGTCCCACTTGAGGACAACTCCTGTTGACTTTCCAGTGAGTGGTGCTCATCTTATTGACTTCAAAACAACATCTCAATGCCCTTGTTACTCAATGATTTTAAAACACCCATGTAGTCAAACCAATATATCATACTCTCACATTAAGTGCCCCGCAACGTATGTTTCTAGTCGAGCGTTGGAATATTTTGCTATTTCTCATTACAGTATTTAACAGTTGTACGGTTAACTTCAAATCCCAGTCAGGGACTGACTTTGTGCCCAGGAAACGGACGTTCAATTAAGTAGTTTCTGCTATAGGAATGTGGAATTTCCAGAGAGATTAATAATGCCGCAAAGGCTAATTCAAGCATGAATACAATTTGCTTTTCAGATAATCCGAACAGGTCCCCTTACATTTACTTTATTAATGTAAGGGGACTACTTTCTTTAGAACTGCTTTTTGCATTATCCAGTAACTCCGATTAGCCCGGTTGGCTACGTATGGTACGAAAGAAGTTCAACATACATACTGTACATAAAAAAATCCCCCCGTTTATGTGGTTTTCATTAACCTTCCATTGAGCTGGCCGGGTATTATGCAATTAGCTGCCAGTATGACTCTCCAAGTCTCAGGTGGCATGGGTGTGTGCGTGTCGCCGCACCCATATGATGCAGACGGGTTGGCCAGCCAGATTACCCTGAAAATCCGCTGTCTGTCCGGGCATGCTGGGGACACGCAGACAAAGTGACTATGTCCTGGCAGTTACACTGCACTGGTGTTGCTGGGGGCAGAGGATGGTTGGTGATCTTTAGAAAACAGTAGTTCTTGGATCTACATCGATTATGTAATGTTAATAGGAGCAGGGAATATGTGGTGGATATGGGAATGCCCAGAAACTCAAACAAGCCTGGTTTTGTTTAATTGCTTTTGAAGTGAAATTTTCTATTCATACGTTGCAGAATTAGTATTTTCGCTATGCTTAGACTGGGCCTCATCATAGAAATGGCGAATTTTCACCAATGGCTGCAAACTACAATTGTCACCGTTTCCACAGACCAAACCCGGAAATATTCCTCAGGCAGCCGAGTGTTATCAAAACTGTGCAGTGCGCTGTTTATAAACCTCAACACAATACCAACAGATCTTAGTACAAAGCAATTCCTGCCACCAAGACAAAGGTGACAGTTCCCATTCTGCCCGGGACAGGTGGCAACCCGACTACCGATGAAGATAGGTTCAATCCCACTGCTCATATGAGCAGGGAGCCATTCACCTGTGTCACTAGAAGTTGGGATTGCACCCACATGGGCACACTCGGCAGCTGCCTGGGCAAGATATCACAGGCCAGAATTATGCATTTTGAAATGTCAAGGGTGTAACCTGTAGCTCACTGATTACTCGTTAAATTAAGGGAATTACAGCTTGCAATTTTGGCTCATGAGAAGAGACTGTGTCATTCCACAGTAGAGAAATTACCACGGTTTAAACATATTTCTGTGATGTTTCCAACAGTATATTCCAACGGTGGAAATGGTGCCATGCCCTAAAATGAAGAATCCGTTGGGAAATATCATGGGGCAGTGCACCCTTGTGTTGGAAGATACGTCTCAAAGAAATAAAAACAAAATCATTGAAGTGGCTTTTTAATCCTTTACACAGTAGGCGAGACAGTCAAACGAATATTTATGACCACTACACTATTTTCATTGCCAGGGCTGCAATTTATCCAACTTTAGTGCAGAAGCAGCTGGGATGAGATAATCAAATCACCAAAGTTGAGAACCCAATTTAACCATGAGTCACAACGTAGATTTCAAACCAGGAACTCGGCAGTGCCAACTCAGCTCTCTGACTTTTGAGCTGCATGACCGCCTCAAACAGCTCTGCATTTTGCATGAACCCCATTCTCATACGCAGGCCTAGACACTCGAGACTCAAGATTACGAAGTCTTCACGACCAGCGTCGCTGATATCACCCAGCACGCCTCGCCATTCATTCCTCTCTTCTGTCAGACTGCAATTTTTGTACAGTTGCCACCAAATCTCCAAGGACTGCTATTGTAGCATCCCCACCAATCAGGTTTTGGTTGCCAACCTCTGGATGCCCGCGGCGTTGCCTCTTTCAATCGAGATTTTTTTCCGCTTCAGAACATCGCTTGTCTAATGAATAGCCTTGCCCATTGTTTCACTTTCTGTGCCGGAAGATAGAGTCGAACCAGCGAATTCAAGATTGTAAGTCCAGGGGGATAACCATTCATGGATGGACTCGCTTTGTCACAGAAATGTAGATACTCCGCTCTTCTCGCCGAGTTTTCCAATGGGAGTGAGCACCACTCCACAGTTGTTTGAGCAGGGAGATTTGTATGAACCTATTTAAGGATCCTTTAATCATGACAAAAAATGTTCAGCCGTTTCTAAATCCACTGCTAGATGAAGTCCTCTCCACATTGAGGTGTTGTCTGAATATACTGCTTAATGATTCTAGATTTGAAGCTTTCGTGACTGCAAGGATATGCTTAATGATTGTGAAGTCATTACAGACAGCGTGTTGTAATGTTTCTCCATTATGCTTTACTGTTTCCCATTGTGTCTCATCAGGTAATAATTACGCTACAGTATAGAACAATAGCGTATTACATTCGTCGTGTATTTGTATAATAATCACACTACGTGCTTGTTTTACGGTTCAATAGCGCCACCCGCTGGCTCCACGTCAGTGGTGTAGGCATCCCACAAATTAACTTCGCATTGAATGCGGGCGGAGTTCTCGCCTCTCGGTCCCACTTCTAGGGCGACGTGAAGCCAGATTCACGTTCAACGACAGCACATCACTCATTAATGAACTACAGCACTCACAACATAACCAGCACAGACATCTCAAGTCAACACGCATCTGGTGTACAGTGATTTTTTTTCTGGAATTTCTGCTGGTTTGTTTTTTTTGTCCTGGATTTTCAGTTGGCACATAGTCACATATTCACTTTAGGATGTTTTCTTGTTCATTTTTTTGTTTGTT